TTGCGGAACGTATGCACCAAGTTATCACCCGCCTCACATAGCGCAATCGCCGCCTTCAAGCCGAGCATATCAAAAATGTTTTGGTTTTGAAGGAACAACAATGTGTGTCAGTCAATCTGTTTAAGATTCCCTGGAGCGAGCAAACAAAGCCGAACAACAAGCTCGGGATTAACTGCAAACACCAATAAAGCACCATCGTGTGGCTTAAGATGAGGCAACGCTTCACATATCGGAATACCAAGAACTACAGAAAGATATGGAGATAATTTTGATGCTCGAAATCGCCAGTGCCACTACAGCCAAAGATCGACTGGATACCGACATTGCTCTTCGAACGTCTATCGGGAAACAGCTACAACCACTACATTGTATTCATGAAATCCTATTACGAGCATCATCTATGCCAATGTCTAGCCATAGACCACACGTAGACCACAACCAACAACAATTGCCCACTGAATTTAGCGACTAAAGTGTCCATCCAGCTACTGAAGGCGTACAAGCACTACAATTGAATCTCTCTATCCGAGCGCCTCAGGGCCATCCACTCACACATTAACTCCGTCGTCGCCGACACCAGGTCCGACCCCAGTACAATGTCCACACCACCCAAGTCAACCACAGATCCCAACACCGTTTCCGTCAGGACAGGTACTAACACCTCCGCTTCCTGTCCCATGTACCACCACTGTACCAATACCACCTCCACAATTGATGTTACTATCCCACACGGTACCTCGCATGTAGGATGTTTACCGGCAAAGATAAGTATCCTGGTCTTGGTGCTGATTTTGATGTTATTCATGCGCAAGTTTGAACAAGCAATACAAAGTGAAAGCCGACATAACAACTCAATTACACCAAAGAGTTGCGTGAAACGTTCCTTGTCACGTTTCTTGATGGCGCCGCATCCGATTTTTACTTTCAATTTCTCGACAAGTTTCTTGACGTACATGGCCGCATACCAGCGTACCAGAAAGTCCGAGAACTCTTGCTAGCTTATTTTTGATGCACGTTATCCCAAGCACGCCTTATCTACTACCTTAATAACCAAAGAAGCCAGAACAAACGTGGCATGGATACTACGCCTATCTACGCCACGTTGGTCCAGATATGGGCTGTGACCGAAACGACCTTATTCTTGAGGCATTTTGCAACAATGCATCGACGGACCCAGGCATAAAGCCCCAGCTCGCCAGCATTGTCAACTACAACGCTGAAAAAAATGAAGAAATAAGCAATGCCTTTGCATTGCTCAAGAAGCTATTGGGTGATGGTCGCAAGACGATAAGCAACAGCCAGAGACCGACTAACGTAAAATCGAATGTGATTAAGGCCATTGCGGCTCCAGTCAAAGATACTAAGACGCCTTCATCCAAACTTCAGCTGGCATCTAACAACTCTTCGAGTCGCCATAAACCAAGGGATGGCATAAAACCCTGCTGGGTTTGCAAGACAACGGACCACAAAGCATTCGACTGCCCCGTATTTCAAGACGCTCAACGCCAAGCTGGACAAGCCAATGCTGTCACAGCAATGGGCAGCACTGCTTCTACTGGTGGCAATGACATTGCTGCGAAGATGCAACCACCAAAAGAAAAGTCGAAGCATCTGGCGAATGTTTTTTCTCGGATTGGCAGAAGCGTGTAATGATCAGAAAGCTCCTGTGACCACGCCTTCTACAAATGCCTTTATTGGTGGTGATGCATGCGTTGTACTGCAATATTCTCCAACTAAACTTGTTGTGGTTGCGACCGAACTGAATTAAGATTCTTAATGATAATGCCGTGAGTCGAGGTACCCTTGAGGTAATGCATTAAGGGTTGACACAATTACAATGTTCTATGGTAGGTGCGTGCATCGCTCTACACAAGAGTTTCACGGTCGTAGTGATATCAGGACGGGTGCAGTTGGAGATCCACAGCAGTAATCCCATTACCTCTTGATTCAGTCGCTCATTTAAAAATAACTTGACTTTTGATCGTATAAGTTGTGCTTCTTTTTTTCATCGCTGTCGAACGAATTGTGCAGTTTTCCATTTCGACCTTGGCAAGGAGGACATCGATATTGTGTTGTCGTTGCAGCAAGTAGCCAGATTCGGTTTTCTCCACATTATTACCGAGCCACTGGAAAATCAGACCCAAGTCGTTGGTATCAACTAATTTGCGGAGCTGTTTCATGAAAGTATCTGACAGGGAGTCATCTTGTGTGATTACGATCACATCGTCGACATTGAGACCAACAACAGTGGTACCGAGGGGTTCATGTTTGAAGTAGACACACGGACATTGGCGACTCTGTCTGAACTTGCACTCCAAGGGAAAATTGAAATCAATACGTTTCAGAATCGAACGCTTTGTTTGAGACAATAGATGTTTTTAAGCAAATGGCATACGGTCCCTTCATCTGGATATTCGGGTGGTGGCTTAGCGTAGATGGAGCGATCAATAGGTGCACGGAGATGAGCATTGGCTACGTCACCGTGACAAACTTTGCAGCTCCACTGGGCGTCAACCGTGATTAAAAATTGCGCACTTTACTTGTTTAAGACCGGAGGATATGTCTCGCAGAAGTCCATATAATATCGCTGAGTAAATCCTCTTTCTACAAGGCGAGCCTTGAATTTGTTAAGATCGCCTAGCGAGTTGTATTTAAATTTGAAGACTCATCTTGTTGACACCACCTTTCACCCGGGTGGTGAAACAGCTTCCTCCCATGTACCATTCGTACACAATCAGTCCAGCTCTCGAACCATAGCTTCCTTAAGCTGTGACCAGAATGGGCTAGCCATTGCTTCTCGAATATTTTGAGGATCTGGAACGCCATCGGAAATGTGAATTACAGGCAATGCTGCTCCAGGAACACTGCTGACGTCGAGAAAAGTGGACGCAGGTAAATCAAAGTCTTCAAAAAAAATTGTCACCGCGGTTGTGGACACCAAATACACTGTCAATTTGGCGCTTGGTGAGTGTGGTGTCGCCGATTGAGTCACCTATTTCGTAGTTGCACTTGTTTTCGGTGCCCATGTCGTCGCTCGTTTGGAGCGGAAAAGAGGAATCCTTATTTTTAATTTAACACAAATCCATGTGATGGCTGGAGACGGTGTTGACACAATATGATTTCTGCCCAGTGCTCTGAATGTCAAAGGGAATGGATTCAACCAAGCGCAGGTAAATGGCGGGAGTAACTAAGAGCCTATTAAGTAGTCAAATACCTTTTCATCTAACTAGTGACGTGCACAAATAGATTAATGAAATTCACACTGTCCATATCTATTGTCTAGCAAAGCTAAAGCCAAGGAAACGGGCTTGGCACTATTCATATCTCCTTAAGTAAATATAGCCAATCACAGCTTGATCGGCTTGTGCGTTGATTAATGAGAACCTCAGTCATCGGTTCTCCGAGGATGCTTATAAGGACTGACCATTTGTCTTAGGTGTATAGAAAAGCGCGACAGCAATGTATATAGCAAGGGACCAAGGCCGTCGTACATACAACAACACGCCACACTGACATCCATTTGCATCAGCGACAAAGTACAGGCATCTGACAACCAAGGACCCGATGATAAATCTGCCTTCGCCGAGGTCATTGAGACCGACTCGCGAGAGCGACTTGACCATCGAGGCGTTCGACCCTTGTAGATGCAACAGAAACGTACTTCGTTGGCGCATTCACTTCAATCTGCGCGCTCATGGCGAGGACTTGTGCTGCAGGGATGTAGTGCGGCACCTTGCATCGAATAGTTTTGTAGCGGAGATACCACAGCTCTAAAGTCAGAGTAAGACTTTACGGGTTAAACCAGAGGCTTGCAGCTAACAGCCAATTAGTTGTGAGGGCTAGCAGCCGATTAGTTCTAAGGAACTAATTATCGAGTTAAAAAGTCGGCTAGTTCTACGGAACTAGCGCGGACTCTATGATCGATTAGATCAGACTACTGTAGTTCTAAGGAACTACACGCACAATGTGCAAGGGGAATAAAGGAGTCTAAGGAATCTCTAAACCAGGACAGTTCTAAGGAACTATCAAGCGTAACGTGCGGAGTGGGGGGTCTACGGACTTCCGCTCAAAATGAGACCTGCACTTTATTAAGATTTTATATCAAGGGAAATCTTACTTTAAGTACCCTATATTTGACTAAACTAGAACTGATACAAATATTAGTGCTCGAACTAAATGGATGGTTGGCACATCACTCAGTCATCGAATGATGACGATACAAAGCACTTCCACGGTAAGTACCATAACTCAGAAAATACCGACTGAACGGTATACTCTATTGATATAAAATCTAAGGCCACACTTGTCTCTTATATCCCATATGGGAGGTCTTCAACCAATTTAGCCGAGGACTAGTGTGACCCCATTACATCAGCTATTTCGTCACAAATATTCGAATGACCACCTTTTTAGGAACCGTGCAAATCTGCAGTAGACATTGCACCTGTCAGAGTCTGTACGGCCATTATTTGTAGTTTTCTTTAGTTAGTAATGTTAGTAACATTTATGATGACCCGATATCGTCAACGGTTTGTTCGCCACTGCAAAAGCTTCATACGTCATTTTTTCGTTTGACAATCTCGGTACTCTGCGTTTCTTGTCAATCAACACTGTTGTCTTTTCGTTTTAACTTGAAGTACCCATTTTGGTCATCGTTCACGGTAGGACCCTATTTTATGAGGTTTCCGTTGCGACTATAACACTCAGTGCACAGATCATGAGTGCCATGACGGTTGTGCAGCTCGTGCTGAAGTACAAGCAATCCTCTTTTGCACGCCATTTATTCGATAGAAACGAGCCAATGTCACGTTCGTTGCTATGAAAGTCACCCACATGCAGCCCGCTTACATGTAGCCATTTCGTTGCAAGAGCGTCAGTGTGATGGTGTCTACCACACTATTTCAGCACGCTGCATCATTTTGGATAAAACTAAAAAAAGAGGGGCGAGGGTCTTTACTTCGAGCTGACAACGACTTCTCTTCGTCTCAAATTGAGGGTCAATGGAAGGTCAAGTGGTCGAGCTCACGGAGGCGGAGCAGGCACAGCATCAGCTGCAGATGGAGCAGCAGCTCAAGTCTTTCTGGGCTAAGCAGCTCCTGGAGATGGAGCAGCTCGAAGTCGGTAGTGAACAAGGTGTGATGAAGTGGACCAAAAAAGAACAAACGTGATTCTGGAGACTAAAAAGACACGACTGACTTGTTTTCTGTGCCTGTTTTTGATTGCACCATTTGACTCAGATTTCAAGAATCATAACGATCTACCCTTAGCGCGCATCAAGCGCATCATGAAGTCGGACGAAGACGTACGCATGATCAGTGCCGAAGCACCCGTGCTCTTTGCCAAGGCCTGCGAGATGTTCATCTTGGAGCTCACGCTGCGCTCGTGGGGCTATTCGGAGAAGAACAAGCGGCGGACGCTGCAGAAGGAGGACATTCAGACAGCCATTCGAAACACGGACGTGTTCGACTTTCTTGTGGACGTCATAAACTAGAAGAAGGAGGGACTGTAGACGCGATATCCACATTGGCAATATTAGGCACCATTGGGACAAGAGGAGAAGGGTGAAGTTGTGTCTGGCAAGTCGTGCTGGGCTGTTCCGTCGCTGAAGCCGACATATGCAGCAGGTAGCAAGTCACTACAGTCACCATGTCGTCGTGGTTCGTGAAGTGGAGGGCACTTATTGTTATCTTGTGACTTTACTTGCGGTTCACAAATCGACGTTGAAGTCTAGCAGCTCACAGACTTGAATTGGCACATGATCGAAAACGGGTACAGCACGCCGTGCTGAAAACACATGTAGATCAATGCAAAGAATCGAGCAGATCAAGTCGCGCTTCAGCCACTCGCAACTGGACGGCGGTCAAACTCTAGCCGCCATCGTCGACTTGTTGTGCCGCTTCTTCGGTAAAGCAAAAGCAAAGGACAAGATGGTGGAGCTCCTCTGTGCGGTCGCTGGCATCGCCATTACCATGCACTCGGTCCGGCTATTCTACGCGAGGTTTAGTCCATGACATTTCAGAAGTCAAGCAAGTCCCACACTTCCGATATCTACGATCTGCACGTCGCAACTAGTGACAACTCTAATGCTGTGGTTATGCGGCGTACAATGAATTAGGCATCAACTCTTACGGTCTCGGGTCGGGTAAAACCCAAGTACTGATCTGACAGTCAAATAAAGCCAGAGTCAGTCCTACGTCCTTCGTTCGAGCTGTGGTGGGACTCCGGAGACGTAGTAGTGCATACAGCAAGACCGCGAGGAAGAACCTGCAAGCACCTAACCGAGGAATGTAACAAAAACGTTCCGCTTCGAGAGAATGTAAAGGTGGTGATGATTGCGAGCCCGAGGGGTAAAGCTGTTAGTGACTGAGCGCAAGGTCCGTGAACATCCGGAACTTGATTCAGTTCCTTGGACTGAATAACTTACATCAAAGGGCAAGCTCCAGAGCTTGCTCCCTCATCTTATTGCAGACGCAGACGCACACGCGACGCGGGACATGATATAGTGTGATACATTCCATGTCCCGCGTCGCGTTTGCATGCCATTGGTAAGACCAGCTGTTGCTACAATAGTAAACGATGAGGTCATCAATACTGGGAGAACAAACATGTACTTGCTGTCACGCAATCATCGAGCCAGATGTCTTGTTTTGGATGGTCGTACACACGAGAATCTTGGCAAGCGGAAAGGGATCCACGAAGGTTAGTTTTTTAGACACTATACCACCGGGACTGAACTCCGGCTTCGATGGACATTCTTTATGATCCCGAATGCACCTGATGTTTTCCGTCAATTGTCAGCTGCAAGACGGCGACAGTATCGCGTCGTCTTGCAGCTAAATTCGACATGAACTTACACAAAGTGGAGCAATTGTAATCGTGGTTGCGTTGGAGTGACTCGTTATAACACAATAGACGCTGAACTGAGCTGAGCTCAAGTCTCCTCATGTCGTCTCCTTGCACGGTTTTCCTACCTGCAGCTCTGCAATTCTGTGGAGACCTTCCGGCTGCGACGTCGGTTAGTTACCTGACCACGGGTGGAACAAGTGGAGAATAGTGTGTATTTGAGCAATTTGCAACAAGAGGGGCCAAGCCAGATGTGTCGACTTTTGTGGTGGCGCACGTAACGAGTACTTCAAGGATCGAGACGGATATGGTGCGATCGCAAGACTGGTAAGCAAATAAGGACGTTCCCGCTGTCTGCGCAAGCAGTTGATTTGGATGACATCACGACAGCAACTTTCTCCAGTCAATATGAATAGAATTTCAGCATGCGGCGCAGCCTTCACCACGCATTCACACATGTAGATCAGATACCAAGGAAGACGCCAGCTGTGTCCCCCACCACATGGTTGCCTGTGCGATACGCAGACACTTGACGTCTTCAACGATGGAGGTTTCCTGATTGGAAGTCGTTTCAATTGACTGATCAGTTCATCCGGCATGATGTCCTCCGCCAACGAGTAGCTCGTTTCACTTGTCCATATTGTGAAGTCGTTCTCATCCCAGGTAGCTTTCGAGCTTGAAACGGCCGGAACCGCCATGAAGTACGTGCAAATGCGAATGACATCTCAGGCAGAGACGCATTTGTGGAGCGCCCATGATCCTATCGACGTGGCATAGGTGCGTTCGGCGTAAGCCACACACACGCTGCCAAAAATGGCTACGACAACAACAATTTGCTGGTATAGACTTCACTTTGATTGCGTCCGATCGAGGAAGGCTTGCACGGGTAACCGACCCTATCGCAAGCAGCAACTGACCAAGTGCTCATGTGCAGCCCCGGGGTTTGTAACAGCAGTACCCTCATCGCACATCCGTATCTTGGTACCACATCGATGTGCAGCTGCTCTTACAAAAGGTGAATGACTGGAAGGCTTTACACAGACAAATGCATCACACCAATATTTCACAAAAAGTTGTTTCACCCCGAGGCGTTATTTATTCTCTGATCTTTCCGAAACATACCGATGCGTCGCCGCGAGATATGATGATTGGTCAAAATACCATCTGGATGCGAAAGCAGATTCGTCGGAAATGAAACCACTCTTTTTCTGATTCGTGTCAACGCTACGGAGTTCGTTGCGACAGACGCTTTCAATTTCTTACACGTGTTTAGCGGCATACGGTCAATCATAAGACGATGTGCATCCAGCATTTCCTTCATACGGGTGCAACCCTTACCGTGTCCAAATCGATCACTCAAGTTTAAGAAAAGCACTGTCCTTATGTTCTTCTTCGGTCCAGATGAGCCCGTGTCTATCCTGTATTCATCGCGCTTGACTCGACGGCTACAAACCATCGAAATTGTCACACATGGCTGCGGACAGTTCGTGGCACAAACCAGCTCTCGTATGTTTATTCGTGCGAACGTTCGTGTGGGTTCTGGCTATGTCCTCGCCTGGTCAGCATCCTTCCTGCAAACTTTCTCACTCTACAATTCGCACTCTCGTGATCACGCGACTTGAAGTCTCCTCCAGCGTCCATTCTCTTGCGACCGTCGAGCACGATGAGCGACGCAGCGAAGAATTACGATCTTCAAGTCTCGCCCATGCCTGGGATCAGCAAAGAAAGCGGCGACAATGAACGCACGTCATTGTACGTGTCCCACCCTTCGATCTGGCTACTGCTCGCGGTGTCAATGCCGCGCATGGCGATCAACATGGCCTGGTCAGCTCAATGGGCAGCCCTCGGCCCCTTTCTATCCACCATGCTGCCCAACTTTGCCGTCCAAGTGACGCAATTCGTAGGTCCCATTGTCGGAGTGCTCGTCGGCCCAAGTGTCGGTGTCTTTAGTGATCGTAGCACCAGCAAATTCGGTCGTCGACGACCTTTTCTGGCAATCGCCAGCATTCTGAGTATCATGTGCTGGATTGCCATGAGCTACACCCGTGAGATGGGCGAAGCTCTTGGGGACCACAGTGAAGGGCCTGACGGTGAACCCGCTAGTCGTACGTGGACGTCGATCCTCACTGTCTTTTTCTACTTGTGGATGGACATCACCGTCAACGTCGTGCAAACGCCAGCTATGCTTTTAATTGCTGACTTTGCTGGCGATCGACAAACGACGGGAGCTGCGTTTGGCCAAGCGTGGTCGACCTTGGGATCGATTCTTGTCGCTGGCTACATTGAGCTCTTTGGTGCTGCTCATAAATCGCTGCACGAGTTCATGTGGATGCTGTCGGGGACGATGATCCTGTGCATCGCTGTTGCTGTTGTGTTTGCGAAAGAAACGCCATTGGACCCAAGCAAGGTCGAGGACGTTTCGACGTGGAAGCGAATCGGGGATGCCTTTGCGTCTGTCTACCGCGGCATCCGCACACTTCCTGGCGTGCTTGCAGTCTACGGTCTCTGCTTATTCCTCGTCCAGTACGGCTTTACGGCGTACAATGGCAACAAGGGTCAGTTCTTTGGCCTGGAGGTGTTTAATGGATCTGCTGAAAATGCGGATAGCTGCAACCCGTGTAGTCCTGAGCAAGATGCCTATAACAAGGGAGTCAGCATTGCCGGTGGCCGCGCTGATCTGCTGTTCAACGTTGCGGGTTATCTCTACTCTTGGACGCTGCCGGTTCTAACGCGCAAGTTTGGCGTGAAGTGGGTGTTGACTGTTTCGACTCTTCCACAGAGTTTGCTTATGGTCATGGCGTGGACAAGCGACGTGACGTTCAACGTGTTTGTCGTTGTCATTACTAGCATGACACAGGTCGCGTGGTTTGCGTTCATTGTGCCTGTGATCGTGCACGTTTTCGGCGACGATAAAGAGATTGGCGTCTACGTCGGAGCGTTGAACTCGGCCAATTGCTTTGGTCAATTGTTGAACTTTGCCGTCGGCTCGGGACTCGTTGAAACGCCACTGGGCTACAAACTCCCCGTCTTCCTCGGCGGGATCATGAGCGCCCTCGGCTTCATCACGGCTCTGTTCTTTTTCAGGATGAAGATCCACTCCATGTAAGCACCGCCTCCTGTATTTTGCATCATCCTCATTACTCTTTGATCTAACAGCTATATATCGTATACATCCTTTCGAATAGACCTCTTTTACGGGCGAAAAGCTATCTCACGTTCCCCTCGTATGACGCCCTGAAATAAACCACAAAGTCTCCGATATCGTCCGCCGTGTGCAATGCAAAACGACAGCGCTCGAACGTCATGACCTCGTTCTGGATAAGCCAGCCTGCACCTGATATTTCTTCGTTTAGAAACGTCCGCAATCCAGATCCATTTCTACTCTGCGCGCAGTCCTCCTCCGACTCGCTCACTTCTGCTTTTGCCGTCTCGAGCACAAGCGTTTGCTCCTTCTTTTGTCTCCTCACTTTTCCAATATCCTCCTCCCAATGGACGGCCTCAGTCGCGCTTTCCACTTTGTGCTCGATCCCTTCCAAAGGGAGAAAAAGCCCGAAAAAGCTGCCACTGCGCCATTCGACCAGCCGCACCTCGAGCCATCGCGCTGGTTCCTCACTGACACCGAGATGCGCACGTCGCGCGACGGTCACGACCGTAAAGGGATGCACCTGTTCACGACTGGCAACCGCGTGAAACTCTACGCTGCCTCGGCCGAGTACTTCCACGACGTTGCGGACGACATGTCGCACGTCCGACACGGCGACCTCGTCTACCTCACGGGCTGGGGCACGTGCAACGTCCCGTTCAAACCGCAACACGATCCTTCCAATACGAAACTCTGTGACTTGGCCGAAGCGGCCGTGAAGCGCGGCGCTGATTGGCGCATGCTCGTGTGGTCCAACGTCACGGAACGGGCCCAGAACCACGACGTGCGGGACCTGATCAACGCCCTGCCGCCGCCGAAAGAGCACGGCCCGGCACGCTTCGTCTATGACGACCGACTGCCGTACGCGACGTCGTCGCACCATCAAAAGTCGGTCATTGTCCGTAAAGGACGCGACCTCGTCGCCTACGTGGGTGGCGTCGACTTGACCAATGACCGCTGGGACACGCTCGAGCACGACCAAGCCGAGCTCCGTGAACAGACGGGCATCAAGTGTCTCTGGAACGGCTGGCTCGACGCCCACGCTCGGGTGGAAGGTCCCGCTACGACGGACGTGGCGTGCAACTTTCTTGACCGCTGGAACTCGAAGCACGAGCCGTCGCAGGACTTGTTGGATGATTTATTGGATTTTGAAAACCCGGCGTTTTCGAAATTACCGCCCGTGGATCAAAGCCACACGACGCCTGTGGATATTCCTGACGACGGACCGCATGCCGTACAACTCTGTCGCACGTTCAGTCCGGACTATGACCACTACGACTTTGCCCCACAAGGCGAGCAGTCGATCTTCCACGCGCGGATCAAAGCCATTCGCAACGCGCAAAACTACATTTTCATCCAGGATCAGTACTTTATCCTCGTGCCGGAGCTCTTGGATGCGATCATGGACATGATGCCAAGCATTGAACGGCTCATTGTCATCGTGCAGCGCACGGTTGAGGCGGGGTACACGGGGTATGCCAAGTACCTCTACGACATGGTGTCGCCTATCCAGAAGGCGTTCCCGGACAAGTTCAAGCTGTACACGACGAAGGAGGCCAAGGAGCTGTATATCCACAGCAAGTTGGTGATTATCGACGATGTCTACGTGTCCCTGGGTTCGGCCAATTGGAACCGTCGTAGCATGACGAGTGACACGGAAATTGGCATCAACATTGTTGACACGGAGCTCATCAAGTCGCCTGAGAACATTACGGTGAACAAGTTGGCGCGCGACTTTCGGATCCAGAAGTTTATGGAGGCGACCAAGCAGAGCTACGAGGAACTGAACGCCATGACGTTCCTCCAGGCGTGTGACGCGCTTGAAGCTGCTGCTCATGACGACGGCTCGAGCCTGATTGAACCTTATGCCGTGGAGGACCAGGCGGGGTTTGACTACGTGCCCGACGCACTGCGCCAGATCGTTGATCCAGACGTCGAGCGCAACGATTGAGTGCGCACTGTTGCTCGTGTGCTTGTATAGCTCATGCTCGTCAAGGGTTGTCGCTGCTGTTGTTGTCGATATCGAGACCACGTCCATCAAGTACGTGAGTTGTGAATCAAGGCATTAACAAATCCAAAAAATAAATTGGAAATGCCGAGTGAAGATGTTGTCATGGTTTGGCATGGACATCGATGTACCTATGCGGTCAGCATGTGGGCATACGTTGTACACCTTGTCTGTCAAAATGCCGTAATCAGGACACACCCATACAATTTGTGCACTCGCTGAAGCACTCCGGCAAGAGCGTGTTCGATCAAATCGAGGTGGTTTCTCGATGCTCTGAAAACTAGGTGAGCAGAGTCAAGTCAAAGGAACTATGATGTAGTGTTGTGGGGTCTTTTACGACACGAACGATTGTTTTATGCGAAGCTACATCACGGTGCCGCTCCCTTTCATTCTTGTGCTCGACAGAAGGTCAACATGTGCCAACATGCTGAACCTGAGCACAACGAATTCCCGATGCAACTATTGCGACGGTCAAGCTGCTGGCGGCCGCAGATTTGGTTGCCGATATCGTCAGCTATGATCACAAACCTTTCCGTGCAAAGCGTTGAAACCTTGCCGCCCCGGTAGTAGCTTATGTAAATCCGCGGCGCATTGCAAACGACAGCATGCGGACATACACAAGCGAAACGTCCCAGCCAGTTCTCATGGCAGGCGACTATCAAGTAGCACAGTTCAATCTCTAGGCATGCGACCATACTTTTGCCAGCTTACAGTCGTTTCGATCAGCTGAGCCAAGTTGATCGAAACGACTGTAAGCTGGCAAAAGTATGGTCGGAACGTTTCCTTGCCCGCCTTATAATTTACCAGCACGAATGTTCTCGAGGTGAACGCGGGATAGTCCAGAGTGAAGCCTGGTCCTTCAACTGCTTTTACAAATGGGATCTGTAACGAAGTAGGCTTGACTGCTTGCGAACAGGGATGTAGTTGCGGCAGACAAAGTCGACCGGCTAATTGACTATATTTGTGCAAGTGGCTTCCAGGGTGGCATGTACAACCTTAACACCTAGTACAAGATCGGACATTCCAACCCGCGACTCATATCCTCTACAAACAACTTCCACCGTACAGTGAGTGACCAGGATGATGACTGTCCTGAGCTCGTCAGATATTTTCTGATACAAACAAGTCCGACCAGGCTGACCTACTGTTCGAATATCGTTTGCTGCGAGCGTTGACGCAAACGTCTATTCCTACCAGCTCTCGGACAGAAGTGTTGACCCTTTTTGCGCTATGTCAAAGTTGAAGGTGTGACCGCCGATATAGGCTACGTGCCTGGCTACTTCCACATCGTATCATGAAGAAATGAGATCGACCAACATCTCGTGGGGCCGCTTTGGAGAAAGCTAATCGAGTGACGGGTTCATATTCTAGCTGACAGGTCGTTACATGCACGTCCATCGATTCCTATCAGAAAATACTTCGATTTAGAGTTGCCATCTTCAGGAACAATGTACGAGCTTACATAGGCGGTAAACACGGCGCAGGGGTCGCAATCAAGCAGCTATCACTCCCGATGTATCCTCCACAATTCCAGTCCAAAGGCTTGTTTTAGATTCGCGATGGTGCATCCCATTTCCGGCCATCCACTCGCCTGTCACCGGTCTCGAAGTGCTTTCAGAATCGAATTCGACGCCGGGATGGCAATGTCCTTCCGTACAAAATTGGGTTTCTTGATCGCACTCACTGTATCGATTGTCATCGCTTGTCTAATCATCGCGCTCGCCGACACACGGCCTGATCCACGTCCAGTCGTGCTGTTTGTGGGCGATTCCCACACCGAAGAAGGCACCAATCCATCACTAAACGGCTGGGTGGCAATGCTTCAGAGGCGATATGTGGGCACCGATGTCATCACGCGCGCCTTTCCGGGCTACAATACCAAATGGTTTCTCAAATATGTCGCGCCTACAATCGCTCAGGAAAGTCGGAAAAGTATCTATCCCACCCCGTCACTCATCACGATTTGGTTTGGAAGCAACGATGCTGCGCTGGCAAACGGAACTGCCTCGAAAACACATGTCCCCATCGTGGAGTACAAGAAAAATTTGGTTGCAATCGCTCGCATTTTCCAGATCGCAGCACCCACTGCAGCCTTGTTGTTGATCACACCACCGCACATAAACGACAGTGCCAGAGTCACTATCGCAGCAGAACAAAACGGTACGATTGACCGAACAAATGCCATGTCGAGTTCGTATGCTCGTGCATGCGTAGAAGTAGGTGCGGCACTGCACGTTCCAGTGTTGGACCTGAACTTGCACTTCAACACGATGCCTGAGACGACCCGAAATGCTTTGTTGCTCGCTGATGGACTACACTTAAATGCATTGGGTAATCTACAAGTAGAGTCGCTACTGGGAAGCAAACTTGCATTCGAGTTTCCCGAGTTAGAAGGCGACTTCAGGATTCCGCAGTTTCCAGCAGCTAGTCAGTACGTGAGGGAAGATCCGTGGAATTCAGAGAGAAGTAGTCGGGAGTAATCTGCTGATTGTAGTGCGATGGTGTTTAGTTTCAAGATACTTAATCTCCTAAGCTCAGCTCGTCCTTGTTTCTTGCTGCTACAATCTTCGACAACCTATAAAAATAGTGCTCAGTACACGCCGTATTCGAATGAGGTTTCTCCTGAATGTGAGAAGGCAAGTAGCGCACTGACCAAAAGCAAGGACATTCTCTTGTATGCTGCGAAGTGACAGTTTAGGACCGGACAACAAATGTGGGTAAAATAAAGTAGATGGAAATCTGTAACTTGCTTTCTGGAAATGTCTGTCGGAGGCAAGCCGTGTAGCCTAGTAATACTAGCTCAGCGTCAGTGGGATCCACAGGTACACAGAATCTTTTAGTTCTCACTAATCGAATGTTCGTACCCATAGAGCTTCACAGTTCTAACTGAATGATGTGGACTCAGAGTGTGACTTAGCTCTTACCACTATCAACAATTCTCGATAAGAATAGCAGCACGAAGTGATCAAGTGCCAGCTGCCTTACGCGCTTGTTCTCCAAAAGCCTGGAACGATTTTTGCTACGAGTTTGTCTCATGTTGAGGCTATTGATTGAGCAGGCGATAGGGTCAATTTCTAATTCAATACAACCATCGCGTACAAGGTACGCCTCCGAGGAATAATGAACCTTGAATGCTTTTTTTGCCAACTTAATGACGAAAGGTTGGATCAATCGGAGGTAAGACCATTTTAGACCACACCATGGCGACGCAGATTGCGAATTTGTGGGAGTAAGCCGATAAATGGCTTTCGTAAAATGATAAGCTTGGTGTGTGCCATGTAAACGTGTTCGAGGCAAGTTGGCGCAATCTTGTGATCAGAAAGATCATGTCATTGTCTTCATGTGATTATATTTGAAATGAATTTTAAGCGCTTGCCGAATACTATCAAATCGTGAGCACTAGAACATCACCAAAATCATACAACTTCGCATTTCGAGCAGCACCCGACATTATATACAATTCGCGCAACGCCGCGTCATCTGTGCATAGATCGAGTAATGTGTATGCCAAAGGGCCTACAGGAAGGCACAGGCGCTTACTAGGGTCCTATCTTCTTGAGCTGCGTAAGATCAGATTGATGACACGCGAAAAATCTAGTCGCACAGTTTTTATGTCAAGTGATCCGGTTGGCAAAATCATATAGCTGAAGCTCCAATCGGATCGTTAGGCAAAAAGTGTTAGTCAGTGTAGGAGAGAGCATCCATTCGAATCGCGTCAATCTAAAGGGAACGGGGTTTTGTCTAGGAGCATTCTGCTGCAAAAGATTTGATGATTGCAGCCTGGACCGGATTGTGGAAGGAGCTGATGTCCTGAACGAGAACGTGTATCCTCGTTGACAGAACCGATACAACGGGAATCGAGATCGCATCGACTTCAAACTCTCTCAACGAGTATTATACGAAGTCAGCAAAGTTTCCGACAGAATCGTGTATCGAACCAGACGAATGCGTTAGCTTTTGTCGTTAAGATCATCCGGCGCAAGCAAAAAAAAACCAAACAACACCTTTATCGGAACGAACATGGATTGAAAACGAAGAACACTCAAGCCTACTGAAAGTACGCGATGGCACAACGTGGGACTATGCCCGATGTACATGTGTGCAACGCAGCTAGTAGACGCAACTATTCAAAGGGTTGCGATAGTCGGTGGCTGAACGGTAGATATTGTGGCGTTGCACTGGCTAAAGATGAGATCTGGTCTGATTTCACGCTCGCATCTACAGTCGGTCACATCTCATGAACCCTTTGTTTGATCGCTCGATATCGGAATCGCTCCGAAGCGATAGTGTAACGGGGTGAATCGTTACATAACAATTTATAAGAAATTGTTAATAGAATATAACTATAAGAGTTATATTCTCAGAATATTGTCATAAGGACAAATATTCTGCAGCACTTACGAGTAGTTCCTAATTGGTTGATATAGGCCATTATATCAACCAACGAAGACGCGCCACGACAGACGCACGCAATGAGTGGTGAGCAGATAACTGATTTACACATTTGTATTTAGACATAGTTAGATGAAGATAAATAGTGATTTATTGCAGACATTAACTATTATAAATACAGTTCTACTTTTTTACTCTAACCAAGTACTCGCTTCTTCTTACCGTCTTCCTCTGCACGTACCAGTGTACGTGAAGTTACGAGGCACCGCCTTATTCTGTCATCAGAATAAGTAGCTTGTACTGTCACCAGTACAAGCTTCAGGGTGCCCTGTTACACCTGGTAGCACTTCGTAGTCCGTTCAAGGACCGCGTTCACATCCAACATGAATATGTTGGATGATGAAGATGACCAAAGCTTTCACGCTACGCGTGACGGCTACTCCCATTTGAGCGATGTCGAATGGGATGCGGTTGAACGAATGGGTTCGACCATGGGCATCCATGCTGTTAGCGTCATGCTAGAGGCTCTCAATAGAGATGCCCAACATGCTACTATCGCCAAGTTCATTCAAAATGAACTTGACGCAGAACGCGAGAAAGTAGCCTTGCTTCACCAACAAGGTTCTCAACAAGCAGAGTTGTTGAGAGAACAAGGTGCTCAACAGTTTGAACTGTTGAGACAGCAGCAGGCTGCTGCTGGTGGGTCGATGCACTCGCGTCGACCCGAGACTTTGAAGATTGACATCTCCAAGTATAGGGGGGTCGAAGAAGACTCCCTCTTGAAATGGTTCGTCGAATTGGATGACGCCATAAGGGCGCGTCGCATCGACGACGGGGATATGCAAGTTGCATTTGCCCAGTCAAATCTGGCAGGACGTGCCAAGACTTGGGCACTGGGGCTCAAGTTGCACGACCCATATGCGTTTGGGTCGTTGGAAGTCTTCAAGTCGCGGCTCAGACAAACGTTTGAACCGCCTAGAGCTGAGTTCAGGGCTCGAACCGAACTCTTGAAGCTCAAACAGGGTAAGCGTGATGTGCACGCTTACGCTCAACATATACGACATCTCACGAGTTGTATAAGTTCCAATCCGGTGAATGAACACACGTTGGTTTCGGTGTTCATGCAGGGTCTTGCGGATGGTCCCGTCAAGACTCACCTGTTACGGCTTGAAATAGATTCACTAGAACAAGCCATTTCCATTGCGGAGCAGGAAGACTTCAGTCTGAGACAGGCTCGCGCCAGCTCGACATCATATCGTCAACCGAGACGATATGACAACGGAGGTCCAGAGCCGATGGAACTCTGTTATGTAGAGAGCGAGAAGGCTCGCTCTACAGGCTACAAGAAGTTGCAGAGATGCAACGGATGTCAAAAGACAGGACACTACGCTTACGAGTGTAGTGCCCCTCGTCCAGTGTCTCGCGACACTGGGCGTAGTGACCGTCCACCCATGAGAAAGGGGCAGGGACGAGGGTCCGCAGTTGGTGCAAAGACGCAACAACGGGATGGACCGTCAAAAAACGGACAGGGTCAGTAGGTGCGGAGCACCCTACTGGTCTAGCAACGTCAAGAGAATTTGTAGGCCTCTTGATGAAGGTTGCCCCCAACACACAAACGTTGTGCGTTGCTGCTCTAGGTAATGAGGTCTCACTCATTACCTTGAAACTCGAAGTGACGAATAAGTTGTCTCTTCGAGCTCTAGTCGATTGTGGGGCGTCCAACAATTTTGTGCGACGCCAATCGCTAGAAGATGGTCACTTTAAATTCAGAGAATGTGACACACCTCCTACGAGGATGACGGTACGTCTTGCGACAGGCGCATCCGTAACCGTCATGAAGCGTATAGTGAAGATCCACTATACGCTAGAAGATACCCAATATGACGATGACTTTATCATATTGGATTTGGATGCCAAATTTGATGTCATCCTTGGAATACAGTGGCTCAGAAGGTACGAACCACGAGTAAAGTTGCAACATCGAACAGTATCGATGCCTGCCGCTTGTTCATCAGATGGCCATCTGATGAACGTTTTGGAGCGTCCACAAGCGTGTGGATGTACTACGAGTGAGTGCGATGGCCTCACTTGTAGTACGGTCGTTAGTACGACTGCACAAAACCTTAGTGTAACAAACGGTTAATATTCGGAGCAAAGATCCGGCGGCTGTGAGGAAACACAGGCTGCGCCGAAGGTCCACCACTCGAATAAGTCGAGTGGACCGGGACAAAGATGTATCTCTAGCGGGGAACATCTAGAAGAGAAACAATCGATCGCACAGGTTAAGCGAAACGATAATCCTTGATCGACTGGAGAGTCTTTCGTAGAGGATCTCGCTGTGGTTGCGCAACCCCAGCTAGAGGAAGTAAAGGGAATAAGTCCCAAGATTACAAATACGGCGGAAATAAGTTCCCCGAAATCCGCGGGAATAAGTCCCGGGAAGACGAAGGAATAAGTCCTTCGAAGCCTGAGGGAATAAGTCCCCAGGAAATGACAGAGACATTGAATGTCATAGTCAATAACGGATCAAGTGTAGGCGCTTATACACTTGATCTGATTGCGCCTCCGAAGTTAACTTCGGAGATCACTCAGTTGCCAACGCTCGAACATAAAAGGTTCTTGCGTGATCTGCGTAGTGGCAAAGTCAAGCAGATCTGCATACTCGTCGCTGACGACGAGTGTGTAACCGACATAAGGTCAGCAACAGTGTTCACTGAGAACGAGAGAGTTCTCAGTAGTTCATCTATGGACGAGAGTGTCCTAGATGAAAAGACACGAATTGAGCGATATGACTCCCAATCATGGGAATCGCTCAAGACAAATCATCTCTATGAAGATTTGGTTGAATTCAAGGATGTATTCCCTGAAACTGTTCCGTGCGAATTACCGAAGGATAAAGGTATTCGACACGAGGTCGAGCTTAAACCAGGCTCGAAGTACTGTGTCATGAAGCAGTGGCCACTGCCTCGTGAACAAGTACTTGCGATCGACAAGTTCTTTGCCGACCGTTTAGCTGCGGGCCATGTGAGGGAATCAACTTCCCCACATAGCTCTCCGACCTTCTGTGTGCGAAAAGCAACAGGAGGGTGGCGGATAGTGCACGCGTTCAACAAATTGAACGCTGCAACGGTACCGGCTCAGACGCCGATACCGAGGAAGGACGTAATCATTGATTGTATGTCAAAGAGTACCATCTTTTCGTCCATGGATTTGATGGATGGCTTCTATCAAATCCTTATGCGGGAACTGGATATACCCTATACCGCAGTTAGCACGCCTAGCGGCATGCTCTGCGAATGGCTAGTAATGCCACAAGGGCTCAGTAATGCCCCTGCCACGTTCAACAGATGTGTATCACATCTGTTGAGACCAGTACGAGAATTCGCGCCGAGTTATTTCGATGACGTATTCATACATATTCGGACTATGGATGGAAAGTCGGACGTTGAGGTTCACAGGTACCACGTCCGACAGGTTCTTACAATCATGCGAAAGCATCAATTGTATGCAAACCTCAAGAAGTGTATATTTGCCGCAAGCGAAATACCACTTCTTGGGTGCATCGTTGGTAAGAACGGTGTACGTCCTGATCCCGAAAAGATCAAGGCGATCACCGACTGGCCTGTGCCGGTTGATGTCAAAGGTCTTCGAAAATTCCTTGGGCTAGCGGCGTATTTGCATAAGTATTCACGCGATTACGCCGAGATGACTGTGCACCTCTCTCGTTTGTTGAAAAAGAACGAGAGGTGGTTATGGAACGCTGAATGTCAACGCTCCTTTGAGGGTATCAAGCAGAGCTTGATACAATCCCCAGTCCTAGCAATAGCCGATCAGGACAGGCCATTTCATGTGGTCTGTGATGCCAGCGATTTCGCAATCGGCTGTGCATTAATGCAGTACGATCTAGAAGGCGTTGAACGCGTCGTCTGCTATCAGTCGCGTCAGCTGCAACCAGCTGAGCGGAACTATCCAGTGCATGACAAGGAACTCCTTGCCATGAAGTATGCACTCGCGAAGTTCAGAGTCTATCTATTAGGAGATAGACCCTTCATTGTTTACACTGACCATGCGTCATTACGCACGGCAGTGAACAGCCCACACCTTTCACAACGAATGGCGCGGTGGTTGTCATTCTTTGCAGAATACAACTTTACGGTCGAATACAAACCAGGACGACTTAATGTCGTCGCTGATGCACTCTCACGTCGTCCCGACTTTGAAACAGTCGCGTAACCCAACAGTGAGACAGTCACTGTAGCGGTTATGACGTCCTCAGTCCCATCTACAACGTTGTATGATGATGTGAGGCGGGCATACGCCCAAGATGGTGAGATAGTGAAGTTGTTGACACATCTCTCCCAACCATCTCGAGAATCGTTGAAACGATTGTCGTCTGCGTATCGATCTGCATCAGATCGATACACTACTCGCAACGGTTTACTGTGTTATACAGCCGTTTCTGGTGACACACCACGTGTTGTCATTCCAGATGATACTGATCTGCGTTTGCGGATCATGTTCGAGTATCATGATGCTCCTATAGGAGGACATCGTGGCCGAGAGAAAACATATCTCACGGCAAGTCGAGACTTTTACTGGCCCCGCCAGTATCAGTTTGTGCGAAAGTATGTTCGCGCATGCGAAGTCTGCCAACGGGTGAAGTCAAGTCCTTCACTGCGTGAACCTTTACAGCCTCTACCGGTTCCGGCTGAGTGCTGGGAATCCATCTCAATGGATTTCGGCTTCGGGTTACCCAACGACGCACGTGGGAATACGGGTATTCTCGTATTTGTTGACAGATTCAGCAAAATGGTACACCTTGTGGCTGTACCAGAGACAATCACGGCAAGTGGCTGTGCTTGTGTCTTTATTGACACCATCTTCCGACTTCATGGGTTGCCCCGTGAACTCGTATCAGACAGAGATCCACGATTCACTGCTGATTTCTGGCGTTCCGTGTTCAAATCACTCGGAACGCGCTTGAAGATGTCAACATCTGATCATCCAGAGTCAGATGGTCAGACGGAACGTGCCAACCGTGTCCTTGAAGAGATACTTCGAGGATACGTACACTCCTTTAAGAGTTGGAGTGAGTTCTTACCAATGGTGGAGTTTGCCATTAACAACTCGGTGCATGCGTCCACGACACATACACCGTTTTTTGTGAATGGCTTACGCCATCCGCGTGTACCCACCTTACTAGAGTGTAACTCTGGTTTAAGGGGGGGGACTCGCGCGAGCAAAAACCGATTTGGTTCACGCTCATCACGCTCTGACGAAGAGGTCATTGCGTTTGATGCCGATATCGATAACATCGATATCGAAGAAGATGATGCCAGTGAGAGTGCGGAAGCCCTCACTGAAGAAAAGGTTGACATTGCTGCAGTGCGCTCACAGCACACTGAAGCTAACGAGTCATCAGATGAGTTCATACTGGCTCGTGAAACGGTAGTCCGTTTTGTGCAAGACTCCATCGCCGAAGCGGTGGATAAGCAAAAGCAAAACGCTGACAAGAATGGAAGGGCAAACACTCTTTTATTTAATAAAGGTGACTTAGTCCTACTGTCTACGGTTAATCTACCAAAGCATGTAGTGACTAACTTGGGTAGCAGTAAACTACTACCCAAGTACATCGGCCCATTTCGGGTGTTGCACCGCCTAGGCAATGCATACACGATCGAGTTACCACGTAAGATGCGAACGCATCCCACGTTTTACGTTGGTCGGCTCAAGCCGTACCATCAGTACGCTGCTTCTTCCGATGAAGAACGCCCTTGCGCTCAAGCATCTCGCAGAGAGCCTTGTGCTCCCGATGGTGGGCATCAACAAAGGTCTGAAGAGCAGCTATCTCATCCCGAGACCGATCAGCAATCCCACGAGCTACCCTTAGCTCGTCACGAAGAGATGTCAGAGATCTCTCGTTCTCAAGCTGAGCAAAGGCAAACTCAGCTCGATGCTTCAAGGCAGTGTCCGCCATTTGGAGACGCCTATTCCGCTCATGTTCGAGATCGTCGCGTAACCCTTGCGTTACGCGATCAAAGAAGCTCTCGGGAACACACGCTTCCCCACGATAGTTTGGAGAGCGTCAATCCTCCTCCTCCACCTCCATTAGAGGACTCTCGCGGTGGCCAGCGCTATCTAGTTGAGCAGCTGTTGAACCACCGCGACGTGAACGGACGTCGGACGAGTTATCTCCTCCGGTGGCGCGGCTATCCCCCGTCCTGGGATTCTTGGGAGCCCCGCTCCCAACTAATGATCGACGTACTGGGTCTGGTTGAGCAGTACGACGCGGCACATCCTGTGCCGCAGAAGGACCGCCGGAGAAAGTCTTCCCGGCACGGTCGTAAAGGGATTTCAGGTTGTCAATCCCTTCGTACATCTCAGTAGAGACACGTACGCGCCACCACGGGCTGGTAAGGAGGTAAGCCTCCTTAGGTGCTCGTGCAGAGTTGTTCACACAACATGGGCACGAGTCTCCCCAAGAGAGGCAGGGTAATCCTTTCTCCCTTGATAGACGATGCAGCTTGTAGCGTGCACCTGTCGGGGTTCGCTTTTCAAACTTATCACGAGCTTTGATAAGTTTGTCGTTCCAAGCATCACGACCTACATCCTCGAGGTTGTGGATGTAGGAGTTCCACGCCTGAAGTAGTGAGGGACCATCACGTTTGTGATTCCCACTGTACCATCGATGTCTAAAGAAAGCATCGATGAAGAATTCATGTTCAGCGCGATAGTTTTTCGCGCTGGGGTCAAGGTGATGGATCCTTGACGAATCGAACAATCGTGTTCGATAACGATCACTCGTCGTCGCCGACAAGTGATCCATGACAGATTTTGAAAGGGATCCATGCCTTCTTCTCGGGAGCGAGACGCAAGACATTGCGGTCCCGCTCTTCCTGCGACGTGCCGACAGAAGTACTGGCACCTCACTGTAAAGTGGTGTCCATAGGAGAACCGACACCACTATTAGCGCCCGAGTCTCGCGACCTTCGAGCGCCTTCGTTTCGGCGATGGTTCATCTGATTCATCAGATGAACCAAAGATGCTGCGACGCAAAGCATCATCCATGCCACGCTTGGCAGGCGGCTTAGATTCAATCGCCGTCGATACGGATCCGTCATCCGTATCAGGAGAGTACGAGACACCGAGCTCGTACTCTGTGAAGACACGAGTGTCTTCATGACCAGCGCCTGCATCACCAAGTGACACAGGCTGGGTCGCTTCAGCAACCGATGAGACATCAGTTGCTGTTGTTTCTGCTTCGGCGTCCGCACAGAGACGTGCGGACGCGCTCTCGGCGGCCTTGCTCGCGCATCGCATGGGCTTGTTAACCATGCGATGAGATGTTGGAAAGTGGACGCGGACCAACAAGTGCAAACCCTGTCCCAAATGATTTGGGACGAGTATCCATTTAGTCAATCAGTCACTAAAGTGACTGATGGTTAAGGGGGGTGATGTAACGGGGTGAATCGTTACATAACAATTTATAAGAAATTGTTAATAGAATATAACTATAAGAGTTATATTCTCAGAATATTGTCATAAGGACAAATATTCTGTAGCACTTACGAGTAGTTCCTAATTGGTTGATATAGGCCATTATATCAACCAACGAAGACGCGCCACGACAGACGCACGCAATGAGTGGTGAGCAGATAACTGATTTACACATTTGTATTTAGACATAGTTAGATGAAGATAAATAGTGATTTATTGCAGACATTAACTATTATAAATACAGTTCTACTTTTTTACTCTAACCAAGTACTCGCTTCTTCTTACCGTCTTCCTCTGCACGTACCAGTGTACGTGAAGTTACGAGGCACCGCCTTATTCTGTCATCAGAATAAGTAGCTTGTACTGTCACCAGTACAAGCTTCAGGGTGCCCCGTTACAGATAGTGCATCTCGTGTAGATGTACGATTTGAGCACACACCACTCGATCTGTCGCTGAGCATGCGCTGAGTGTGTAGCTCACTTGGTTTTAAAATCACGTTTGACATTCCGCGTTTTGTCACACACCGCTCCGAGCAGAGACCTCCTACATCAACACGACTTCCTTGCTGTCATCGTTGCTGTCGCTCCAGGAATTTCGTTGTGTAACACGGTAACTACTGCAGCTCGTTAGTGGTATCCCAGAGTTTAGAAAGGCTCATCAACAAAAGTACATTTTGCAGTTACCATGGTCCCAGGCAATATCAGCGTACTCAAGCAAATGTTCTACAAAAAGTAGTGCAGATTTTTTTAGTCTAGTCTTGACATCGGTATCATCACAATGATAATCACTCTCAAATGAGCGAGCATGAGGATATCGGCTATGTTTCAACGCGGTCCGAGTCCGCGAACCACCTTTAAATGTAGCAATTGGTGATAGATAAGTCGAATTCGATCTCATCGCTTTTCTCGAGTTTCTCGCACTTTATTCTTATTTTTATTCAAAGGATTTTGTAAATCATTTCGATTTGACGAAGGCTCACCATTAACCAAAGCACATTATATAACACAAACGCCGCCTCGTAGCGCATCATATCTTGTCTACGCATAACTAAAGGATACCGCATAATCAGTCAGCACAGTTTATGTTCCGAAAAAATATGGCGCCTTTTCTAGAATGTCACGGCTCGTGTAAATTCTCGTATTGCAATCATATAATCTTTCTTCTTCGTTTATGATGCTGCAAAGTAAATTGTCCTAAATCCTAATTTGCTACTTATGTTCCCATCAAATTGAATTGCGCTAATGTCGAGCTTGTGGTTGCCATGTCTAACGGGGTGAGCCTGTTTAAAGATATAAATTATGAAGTGATGTCGTGTAAAATTTGTCGTACATTTTATCATAAATCTTCGTAACGGGTCATCTGTTGATATCGAGCCCCACGGGTGAAGCAATTGATGTCTGTGCGCTAGGTTGAATGCCAACCTTTCATACCGTACGCATCTCTGTGTGTCTGTAAACAACGCGGTTAGGTGTACATATCACATACTAAGTGCGATCTAGCCTGTACTCTTCATAGTTATAAGTACATCCTAAGTCAATCTTTGGCTAGTTTCTAAAGCGGTGCACGCTTGGATTTGGCTTAAAATTGATCAAAGGTGAACATGATCCCATAAGCAGATGCTGGACGCTTATAACTAAAGGCCGATCGCGTTGCCCAACTACACTATGCTGGTTTAACACAGAGATTTACAGCTCATACACATTCGTCACTGACTGCTAAGGGCTTATAGTTTTGCAACTTGATTGAATTATCTGAACTAGATTGGTTATATCATAGGGCGAGCTCCAAAGCTTGCTTCCTATCTTAACTTAGGGGGCTAATTTGTAAAACTATTTGCATAGGAGTGATGCTCACCATCATTTTAATCAGAAGTGTATAAAGAAAGCAGACTTTGAGACTATGCTCACTGATGATATCAGCGATAAATTAAACATTACGAGAACCGTGCACCACCCGTTGGGTCTTTGCTAACCACCCACTCTCCTGCCAATTGCTATACTTAATTAGACAGATTATCAATCACTAATTGGTCGAATTCGACAGGATATTTTAATGATTATACCCCAATCGCAACGCAAATATTGCTCATATTAATTCTCACCCGTAACGCTACTTTCAATGATTTACAATGATAATACCGCGTTTTTACACCCCGTTATCAAATTTATCCCTAATCATTTGAATACCCAGAAAGTTCTTGTTGCTGCATACGACGCGCTGGAGCAATATCGCATGGCGTCTTACGAACATGTAGCGAAAAATCTATGTTTATAAATACTTAGAGTGTAACTGTGCAACATGAAATATGGAGGCGTGAGAAGTTTATGTGTGTGTGTAAACTTCATCAAAGTATTTAACGGATCTATGATAGCTAGGTTGGAGGATTTACCGCCAAGAAAAAAGGGTTTAGTTTCGAACCTCCAGCCATGGCTACCGCACGCAGACTACGACGAGGCGTTCAATCTGGGGTCACGTGCTGCTGTCTAGGTCAGCCACTCATGCGCGTCTTTTTTCAGGTAATTAATTTAGTTCTGCTACAAGCAGGCGGTTTGAATGCGTTTACATTTTCTGGGACGCCCGCAGTTTTATCGACACTTTTGCATCCCTTTTCGGCCATCTTTTGATAAGCACAGTTGTGTTATGTCCAGATGCAAATACCCAGTACACCTGCACAGCACCGCGCTGTCAATTTAAGTTTTCTAAATAGGCAGTTACGTGGTTGGCGCTTCTTCATCTTCCTGATGTCTGTGGAGCTATCCCCTACCACATACAATGGAGAGAAATACTCACCTTCAGCATGACGGAATCCGTGGATGACCCCCAAATATTTTCCCTTAATCTTGGTAATGTCCGCCGATTACAAGGGATGCTCGCCTTCCAGATGATCTTTGTCGCATGCTTGTCAACGTCAACGCAAACCATTTTCGAAGTGGACCCAGCAGGTGGTGACTCCAACTGTAGACTGGCGACGTCAGTAGGACCTTCCCCTTTGGATTCGTTAATCGCGCAGCCAGTGCGCCTGTAGAGACACTATTCGTGGGAGCGCTCTTCGCAGCAGCTGTCTAATTTTCCGAAGAAAAAGGTCACGTAGTACTTTATCGACAGTACCTTTGAGTACCGCTAGCATATACTTACGATCCGCTTTTAAATCGTGGAGGAACCGAAGTCTCGCGCACTGGACGGCGCGGATGGTCGTCGCCACCATGATCCATCTAAGATATAGAGACACCTCGTTCAAGAAGTTGCAACGACTATCTTCTGCGCCATCAAGATATTCACAGAGCACCCGCCACGCACATGCCAAGGTGTCGGGAAAAATCAAGCTAGATCACAGGACCACGAGGTCCTCCAATACGTAATTGCCCAGTCGTCTTCATTGGGTACTAAAGTCATTACACGCCTCCTTCGCGACAAGGCACTACAAAAGCGAAAAAGCGAAATTACTACGTTGATACGCGCTCTACGGACGTGACCAGTCC